TTCTGAGAGGCTAATTTGAGTTCAACCTGGACATCCCTTAAGAGATTCTGGCAAAGCAGATTTAAAAGCAAACTATATGATCAATTACTGTTCTTGTTCTACTTTTGCAAATAAGAGGCCAAATTTATTGAAACTAGATGTATACATTGAATTAGTCTTGGCTATCTTTGGTAAAATACAGATGATTTTGGAGTGAGAAAGTGGTTTCAATAAAAATCATAACACATAATTGTAGATATTAGATTCTGGTCTGGATAATTATCTTTAAAGTTTATTTTAAATTATTTATTTATTCATTTTTAGAGAGAAGGTAAGGGAGAGACAAAGAAAGGGAGAGAAACATCAATGTGTGATTGCCTCTTGCATGTCCCCCACTGGGGACCTGGCCTGCAACCTAGGCATGTGCCCTGACTAGGAATCAAACCAGTGACCCTTTGCTTCGCAGGCCGGCACTCAATCCACTGAGATACACCAGTCAGTGCTCTTTAAAGTTTTCATTTATTTTTTTCACGTGTGGACTAGACTGGATCCCGAATTTTTCTTTTTTTTTTAGAGCTTTTTATTTTCACCTAAATTCATTTAATTTATTTTATTTATTTATCTTTAAAGGGGAAACGAAGGAAAGGGAAAGAAATATCAATGTATGGTTGCCTTTCGTGCATTCCCTGCTGGGAACTGGCCTGCAGCCCAGGCACGTGCCCTGACTGGGAATCGAACCGCAATCCTTTGGTTCACAGGACCTCGCCAATCCACTGAGCTATGCCAGCCAGGGCATGGATCCTGAATTTTTCTAATGAAAGTGTTTGACTATAGCCTTCTAAACTACTCTTTTATTTTTCTCCCATTATTTGCCTTGGAATTACTGAGAACTAAAACTCTTTTTTTTTTTTTTTTGAACCTCGCAATTACAGACTATGGCTAGAAGACATAATGTAGGTTTTAGGAAAATCATCACAACAGGCTACCTGGTTGGAGAAATGCACCCTGGCAATCCAAGTCAGATCTAGAGGTCATTGAAGAAATGCAAGAAGATACCAAGGAAGGAAAACCCCTATATTCCTGTGAGCCAGTCATGGATCTCAGATTCCTCTTCAAAAAGTAAGAGCTTCACCTTGGCTGGTGTGGCTCAGTTGGTTGGAGCATTATCCCATACCTAAAGTGCTGCAGCTTCGATTCTCAGTTTGCACATACCTAGGTTGAGGGTTTGATCCCCAGTCTGGGTACCTACAATCCTGGGTCTGGGCATATATAGGAGGCAACCAATCAATCTTTTTCTCTTATATCACTGTTCCTGTCTCTCTCCCTCTATCCCTTCCTCTCTCTAAAAGCAATAAAAAAAAGTGTCCTTGGTGAGGATAAATTTTTTTTTAAACAGGAGCCCTACTAAAGATAAGCAAGGCTGTTGTCATCATGGGCTTTGTATTTCTTTTTGGGTTTACATCCCTTAAACCAAAATGTGCTCTCCCACCTCCAGAAAGGCCTGAGTGAAGACCTCAGAACTGCCTTCCAGTTGCATTTCAAATCACATAACTATGGGTGAATGGGCCTTAGCCCAGCTTACTTTCACTGAGAATACTTGTTAACATAACTCAATTGTCCCAAAGTAAGAGGGCACTAGGACTACTGGTGGGTATTGGGGCAGCCATAGGACTGGTTGTTTCATAGGATGGATTTTCCTACCATGAGACCATGCTCATAAACCTTACCCAATCCCCAGGAATGTCCAACCTTTTGGAGTCTCTGGGCCATGCATTAAATACACTAACGAAAACTGATGAGCAAAAAATGGTTTTAAGTAAATGGACAGTTTTGTATTGGGCCACATCCATAGCCATCCTGGGCTGCATGCAGCCTGTGGACCATGGGTTGGACACTGCTGCTAGAAGATCTTGCCACCAACACAGGAGAAAACTTACAGGGAATTCAAGGTTAACTTGACTCTTTGGCTAATGTAGTTCTAGATAACAAGCTACCTCTTTGACTATCTTCTAAACAAACAGGGTAGAGTCAACACTATCATTAATAAGAGATGCTTCATCTATGTCAATAATTCAGATAAGGTTGAAACCACTATCCAAAAGATATATGAACAAGCCTCATAGCTACGTACTTAACAGATCCTAACATTACCTGGGATCCTATTAAAAATGCCCTTCCTACCTTCATCTGGTTTCTGCCTTTCCTTGGCCCAGTTTTTGTCCTGGTCTTCCTAATTATCTTTGGAACATATCTTTTAACCTACCTGTCAAGTTTGTATACTCCAGGTTGAAACAGTTTCCCATGAAGCTTATAGTTATGCCAGGACTTCCAGTTAGCCCTCCCCCAAACCACCACTGAACTCTCAGAGGCTGGTCCTTATTAAGTCCTTTGACTTAGCAGCAAGAGACTTTAATTCTTCCTGGGTTTAGGACTACCTGCATTCCTTAGCAGAAAGTAATTTTAGAAGATACTCCAGCCCTGGCTGGTGTGGTGCAGTGGATTGAGTGCTGGCCTGCGAACCACAGGGCACATGTCTGGGTTGTGTGGTCTAGGTCCCCAGTAGAGGGTATGCAAGAAGCAACCACACATCAGTGTTTCCCTCTTTATCCCTCTTTTCCCTTCTCTCTAGAAGTACATACAATATTAAAAAAAATAGAGATACCGCCAGCCCTTATTCCTTAAGATTAAGAAGGAAAAGTCTTTCAGGGAGGAATGAGATGGGCTGAGTCTCTCTTAAATGAATGGGAATGCTCTTCAGATATTTTTAAGCCTCTTCTCATTTAAAGTTTCTCTTCAGACACTCCCCAAATAGCTCCACTCTGTATCTGCACTGGTCTATACCAGCCCAGAAACAAAGAACTCAAGGAAGGAACCGGGAAAGCAAAGAACTCAACTCTGCACCTCTCTGGTCAATTCTGCAACTGCCTGAAGAACCTTGCCCTATATAAGCCAGAACCTCCCCCATCCCTGTAGCAGTTTGAAGAGCTATATTCTTCATTAGTGTATGCTAGTGAAGGAGCATGAAGATCCTTCTTTCTCTTTTCTCTCCATCTTGTTTTCAGTAAATCTCTTATTTGAAAGTGTTTCATCTCCTCTCTTGATTTTTATCTTGAGGAGGGTGCAAGAACTGCTTTGCACTTGAAACTTGTTTTACCTTGATTTGGAGCTGGCTACTAGATTTGATTAGCAAATAGACTTAACTTATTCCAATTGTTTTAAATTAATGATTTTTTCCATACCTGTCTCATGGCTAATGAAATTTTTAAGTGAAAATTTCAGGTCTCTGGTTTTGTCTGTCTGTATATGTGTATGTTTGTCTACCTCCAGAATAAATTATTAAAATTGTTCTTATAAAAAGAGCTGTTTTATTTGACCCAAAGAAATTAAGTACTTACATAAATTAAGAAATATAAGAAATGCTTTTCAGGGACTTCCGCCATGATGGAGGCGTAGGTGGACACACTGTACCTTCTCGCACAACCAAGTTTAAAAACAGCAAAGTTTTAGCAACAAAAATGCAGCCAAACCACAGAAAATTGAACTATACGGAAGTCTGACAACAACAAACCCTTCAGCCAAGCCAGTAAGAGGGGCAGAGCCCCCAGCAGAGCAGGGTAGGGCAGGAAAGATCCAATGGACCAACCCGGGTGTGCGATCCAGGCACACAGGCAGCCATGGGTGGATCCCAGGTGTGGAGTAGCAGGTGGACCCACTGAGGGCTGACCACAGTCACACATTTATGCACGGATAAACCGGTGAAGGAGTAAGCACTGAGATGGACTGCGCAGGCCCCAGTGGTGGGAAGCAGCAAAGGGGACCGCTATTGTCCCTCTCTGACCCCGCCCCCATGCACAGCATCCCAAACAGTGACCTGGGTGGCCCCTCTCTGACCACACCTCCACCTGCAGCATCACAAGCCAGCGACCTGGGTGGCCCCACCCTGGTGAACACTTAAGGCTCTGCTCCTCTTACGTAACAGGCACCAACAGAGCAAAACATGGCTCAAGAATAGCTCAGAGCCCCAGAGCCAATAAATCTAAATGACGAAGAAATAGCCAAACTTTCAGATGCACAGTTCAGAACACTGGTGATCAGGATGCTCACAGAACTGGTTGATTTTAGTTACAAATTAGAGGAACATATGAAGGCTAAACTAATTGAAATGAAGGGAAATGCACAGGAAACCAATAACAATGGAAAGGAAACTGGGACTCAAATAAAAGGAGTAGACCAGAAGGAAGAAAAAAATGACCAAACAGAAAAGGATGAAGAAAAAAGAATTCAAAAAAATGAAGAGAGGCTTAGGAACCTTCAGGACATCTTTAAACGCTCCAACATCTGAATTATAGGGATACCAGAAGGGGAAGAGAAACAGCCATGAGTGGTAACATTATTTGAACAAATAATAAAGGAGAACTTCTCCAATCTGGCAAAGGAAATAGACTTCCAGGAAATCCAGGAAGCTCAGAGAGTCCCAAAGAAGGTGGACCCAAGAAGAAACACACCAAGGCACATCGTCATTACATTAGCCAAGATTAAAATGAAGGAGAGAATCCTAGAAGCAGCAAGAGCTAAGGGGACAGTCACCTACAAAGGAGTTCCCAACAGACTGTCAGCAGATTTCTCATGTATCTGGGTACTCAGGTATAAGGAAATATCTAGAAGGACATTCATCAAAAGGTTGACAATGGTTATATGAGTGAGGATGTCAGGTAATTTGTACTTATTTTTTATTTTTCTACATTTTTAAGGTTTAATAAAGAGTTATACTCATTTCATAAAATGAAAAAATATGCAAGGAAATAGACACAGAGAGAATAGATTCTTAGGGAGACAGAGAAGGGAGCAGGGACAGAGGTCAGGCTGTATCTGCCACTTTGCTGGCATCTAAGACCTCTTCTTCCTCCCAAAAAACCACTTTGTGGATTAATTCAGGCAGATAAGAACCTATCCCCATCCATTTTTGTTATCATCAGTCTTTTAATATAGCTAAGGGTTTACATAGGGCTGGGTCTAGCACCTTACTGTGGCTCAGAGGAGTCATTGTGTTCACCAGGGACCTCTTTTGACTCTTCCTCTGTAACGTATCAGCTCACGTAAGGTGATAATTAGGTTCTCAAATACCTGGGCTTGTTTCTCTCATTGTCACAGGTTTCCTTGGAGTGACTGTCCATGTCACAGTATTAACAGCAGCTTGTGTATCTTTGCTTCCCCGTTCTATGCATATCCCCAGGATCATTATTCTTCTACCCAGAAGCACCACTGATGGAAGGAGATTGAACCTGGAAACTGTTGGCAGAATCAATGACCAGTGTTTGACCCTGAGGTCTGGCCTTCTCTCTGAGGGGAGGGGCACCTATGGATGGAAGTGGAGGTTCCACCAGGATCAAATCCTCATCTGAGTCACTGAGGATATCATCTAGCTCTATTACATTGCAGTCAGCACTGCTGATCACAACTGCTTGCAGGCCCTGAAATGCCACATGGCTTGCTGCCCTCTCCATGATTAGCTCAGATCTCTTGACCTCTTTTTGCTTCATAAAATTATTATTCCAATCCTCTTCCCCCTTATCATCTTGATTAACTCCAGGAAATTGAAAAGATTCTCCTGATTATTTGCATACATCCTGAGGAGATGCTTCAGCCTGTAGAACAGGTCCCCACTCAGTTCAGCCCTTACAAGGAGCTGGTGCAGGCTAGTCTGGTTTGCATCTTTCTTAGCTATGATCTCTGCCTGAATAGCATTCTGGAGCTGCACCTTTAAATGCATCACATAAAGGGAGGCTTTCTCCCCTTATTCCTGTAGGGTGTTTAAAAATTTACCATGAGCAAGTCAGTCACACTGCTTTCAGACTCCCCAGACACCAATTTCATTGCTTGCATGAAATCTGCCACACTTGGGCTGGAGTTGGCTGCCTGGAGCAAATACATAACTGCCTGAGCAGGGCTTCTAAGGGTTTTCATCAGGTGCTTGAGCTTTTTCCTCCTCAGATATATTCCAATCTGGCAGGACCCTACTGTCTTGGATTAGCCGGTTTTCAAAGGTTTCATCCCCTCTTGAAAACAACTTCATTTCTGTAGGGGCGACCATTTTCGCGTGGTCCCCCCCACCCGGTGCCACAGACACGCGTGAGTGAATAAATATGGCCGAGACAAGATGAGATGTTTGGGGATGGAGGCGTGAATTGTGGCCTGTTTCTCTGGGGAGAAAGAGGCCAGCAGTGGCCAGTTTCTCCGAGGAGAAAAAGGCCTCGAGCACCTTTCTCCATAGCCTTTTATTGGGTTGTAATACACAGGAATACAGGGCAGCAAGGATCAAACAGGAGATAACTTTCAAAGAGGTCTGAGGGTTTCAGTCTGAGTGAGTGTCTGTCAGGAAGAGAGTTGCAGAAACTTTGGGAGACATACTCATTTCCTCTCAGACCCTTATCATATGAATGAAAGCACTCTTAACAGAGCAGATTTCACAGGTTTATCAGCAAGTCTTTGTGGTGCCAGATTTTTCCCCAGGGCACGCTCTGGCCAGGCTAGGAGCGTGTCCCTATCAGGTATTCAGGCTTAAGGGGATTAGAGCTGGAAGGTGCTTCTCCCAGAGAACATGGGGACTCGGGCTTTGACAAAGCTGAGGGTGAGAGTCCATTGCTCTTTGTTGCAGGCCCCGAGTCGAGTCCTTCCATGAAGGCCTCCCAGGTGATGGAGTCTGGCTTAGGTTGCCCCCAGCTGTGAGGGGTCTTACCCATCATTGACTTCTGACCAAGCTCTGGGGGCAGGGAGAGGAACTGAGGCAGCGTTTGCTACCAGAGACAGGCTTTGTCTCCTGCAGCTGGCATTCCAAAGGTTGTCTCTCCCCCTTAGCCACAAGGGGTAGAGATGCAATTCCTAAAATCAGGCAGAGCAGTCTACTACACATTTCCTTCTGCCATGTTAACCCTTAGAAGACCAAGACTGCTCCCTAAGGACCTCAACATGGAACGGGCCCAAGTCAGCAAGGGTGTGTTCAGCCACCAGCTATTACCCATGCATGCAGTGATGATTAATGATGGTCTATATATGACAAGATGCTCAGGCTTTTCAGAAAATCCTAGTCTATGGGAGGAATCCCTAAAGCAATGTTCCTGGTCTCTGCATTCCTTGTATCTCAATAGGAACTGTAAAGAGGATAGGATGTCAATAAGGTAGTAGACCTCAGGGAAACAGTCTATTGTAGCTTTCTCAACCTTCCTGAATGCCCTGCAGTACATTTTATATTTTCCCACTGCCCTAAAATTACCCTGCAGGAAATTGTCAATTACAACCTAATGGAGCTAGCAGGTATCCCTTGCTAGCAAGGATGCTTTTCACAGCCACATGCATCCCCTCCTACCAGTCCTCCAGGAGGGAGGAAAATGAGCAAACTGTAGCTTCTATTTCCAGGTAAAATAGTGTGTGGATCTGAACTGGAGTCTCAGAATAGAGTGCAATAGTCTAAGTCTTACAGATTTATGGTAATCGATAAGGTCTTCATTAAGCTCTTGGTCTCAGGTTTCAACTATAGGCCCTTCTCAAAGTTTGCCCACTATTTCTCAGATTCTTACCTGAGCTCCAAAACAAATGCACACCTTTTTTCACATCCAGCCTCTGCAACAGGTGCCCTCAGTGCGTGTGAAAACCGGCTTCTAGGGTAAGTCAACTTCTAGGGTAAATCGACCTTTAACCACAGGAAGTTGAATATTACAACCCTCAGGCAGTCAAGACTGTGTCCTCACAGGGAAGAGTCAGAAGCTGCCACATTCCTTCATCCCACTCTCCCCCTCCAACCTCCTATGTAGCCAGATGGAAAGTTCTCTCTCCCATGTTATGAATACAAGCCAAAGTGACCCCTCCAGTACTTTTACCGAAGAAAATAGTCCGCTACCAGCTCTGCAATCAGCTGCACATCATTCAAATTCACATTTGGCTTTGATGGCTTGTCAGGAAGAAAGGAAATAGGAGTTGGAAATGCACACCCACATATTCCTCCTCAGTAAGAGATGAGATGCAAAGGGGTTAAAGGCAGATAGCTATCGATTCCCCTTCTACCCAGCCCCTTACCAGGCCACCCCAAGGCCTCTACTTTTCAATCCAAGCAAATCCTACCCTTTAGGCAGTATTCAGTGGCACCCCACCTCCTTCCTCAGCGCAGACGAACTACGGGAGAGAGCTCCTACCCCTAGCTCAATATTCTATTCACCAGGCATGGAGTCCCGCAGTCCTGGTGGGGCTTCCCCCCGGGCCTCTCTCCATGCCTGGCAGTCGCAGCCCCTTTCTGTACCTGTACTCAGCCAGGGGGCAACGGATGGTCCCGCGTGTACCACCGTGGATGCTGCCATCCAGCCTCCGAGGGCCTGGGTCAGGGAAGCAGGGAGGGGAGAATGACGCCTCCCTCGCCGCTAAGTGACTTGGGGATGCTCGAATAAGCTGCTCCCTACCGCCGCCCAGCAAGGGGGTGCTAAGTGAAGGGCTCAGGGTTCCCACAGCAGCGGTGTCCATCCCCGCCTACCCGCTGGGCCTTCCCAACAGCCGCCGCTTTTTCAGCCTTTGCCCATTGAGACAAAAGAGCGTGATGAGCCGGGAGGCTCGGCCAATCAGCGGGGCGCGGAGGCGGCCTCCCTGCGCAGCCACTGGCCCCATTGCTAGCATAAGGTGGGGAGCCACTCGGCAGGGGCTGCGGCACACAGGCACCGGAGCCAGCGCGGTGTCAAGTGCAGCTAAGACACAGGGAACCAGCCGATTTGTATTCTACCCGTGAGTTTGCTGCTTTTCCCTTTGCTTCCCTTCTCCCCTCCCCTTCTATCTCACTTTTCCTTCGTGCTTTGTGCCTGGATGCCTTAAACACGAGGTGGGACAGAAATCAAGCGAACAATAACAGTTCCTCAACCTTTGTATGGGGGAAAGGAAGAAAAGCATTTACTGAGCGCTTTCTGCGTGCAAATTTGCTTGCACGAACATTCATTGATTCTTCTCAGCAGCCTTGAGAAAGAAGAAGCTGTGTGCCCATTTAACAGACAGGGGACTTAAGCGCCCAGGCCATACAGTTAGGAAGTGCAGAACTCCTGTGCAAGTCGACATGTCTGATTTCAAAGGCTACTACGTCTTGTAAATACTCTCTCTACTCTCAGATTGAGGGTTAGTGGAGAAGAGCCAAAGTGGATATGGGAGGGCCCATTTGGAATTATATAGAATTAGTGAGCAAGGATTACTATCGCCATTTTACAGATAACAAAACGGACATAAAGAGGTTAGGTATCATGCCTGGAATCACACAGCAAATAACTATCATCCTATTTTGCCCCCGAGTCAGTTGTTCTTCAAATGCCACTTGCTTGACTGAGCTGCTTAGAGAGCTGTTTTATATTGGTGGTCTCAAACCATGCCCACAGGAGTCTTGGTGAGCTGGTAGTACAGAGGGAGGGCATGAAGAGGCAGCAGGGAGAGTGGTGGGGGAAGTTTTTTCTGCACCCATTGTACCTAAGAGGAAACTGAGGCACTCTTTTTGTCTTTTTTACAATGTTTTTTTTTACATCACAAGCTGCCAGTTTATTTATAAAAGTAAAACATTATTTCTACAGCTTATAACTCAAAAGGAGATAAGGCTCAGAGGTGAAATGACACCTGAAGTTACAAAGTGAAGCCAAAATTTGGACCAAATCTGATGCCAGAACCCAAGCTATTAACCAAAGTAGGTGCACAAGTCTAGCTGCCTCAGAATCATTTTGGAGAGTTTGTGAGAAATGCAGATTTCTGAGATCCACCTCCGGGAGGTTTGGATTTACTAAGACTGGGTTGGGAATTGTGACTTATATTTTTAAACGGTGCTATTGTGAATTCTAAGTTGTAGAGAGGTTCGTGAACCACTGTCAAAAATACCACCTCATGCTGATGGCAATAAGTGAGTAGACCTACTGCCAATGCACCTGTCCACAGCATATCTGTCACAAGATGCAACTCCAGAGCAGAGGTTCCTACCCAGGTCCATTCCCAAAATTGTTGGTGAACAATTTGAACTCTGTGGACTCTGAGTCCACAGCTTAATAGGTTTTCAAATGAGTTGGGAGTCCAGAACCACTCCCCTACAATCTTTCTTTGTAACAGCTTCCTCTTTCAACTTGAACTTGAAAAAGAAGTGTGAGAAATGAAACACAATTTGACCTAACCCTCAACCACAGCTCTCTGCCACTGATAGAGCTCTTTCATTTCCTGACTTCAGGACAGGTTGCTAGGTTGCCCTTCTGTGAGCTCTTGAGGGGACCTCTCCTTTGCTGTATTTGCCATCACTGGCCCCAGGGAAGGAGCAACTCCATGGAAACGGCATGCAGGGCTGTCCAGAGTGAATGGGTCATGAAGCCAGGGACTGGGAAACCTGTTCCATTTTCCTTGACCTCTAGTTCTTGGAGAGCAGGTCATCACTTCCCTTATGTCAACTGTGGCTAGGAGGCCCCCTGTGGGTCCTGTTCTAGACTCCTGATACTTGAAAGCAAATGAACAGTCTGATGCCCGTTGAATGCTGGGTTGGTTCATCTTCAACCTGCTGAGGTAATTCACCTGTTCTTTCTGCCTTCTTATTTACAATCGCAATACTTGGAGTTCCTTGAGGTAAACAGTCCAAATTGGAGATGACACACCTTCCATCTGAAGACTGTGGACTTTCTGTTGTGGATGGAACAGTAAGGGAGGGGAGTGGAAGTGTGAGAGGTAGAAGGTTCACCTCACCCAGTCAGGGGTAATGTGCAGTAGCTCTTGGGTTTCCTTTAGACTCTTCCTTCTGTTCCCCAATTCCATGACATCTAATCCAGGGTCTCAGCAGACTCTTCTATGTTTAAATTGGCTTCCTTGCCAAATTAGTTGATCTGCAGTTGGATGTAGTGGGGTGAATCAAATAGAACAAAGAGTGCATCTTAGAGCTCTGACAAAAAAATAGTTAAAGAAATGGATTGTGTAAAGCTGCCTGCATAGGGCCATTAGAACAAAGTGAAGGTCTGTTTGTGCAAGGATGGAAGGAGGATTTGCTAATCTGGCTCCAATTGGGTACAGAGAATTCCTTATCTCTGGCCTCCTGTAGAAGAGTGTTTCAATTTATGGCTCTAATGTGACCACATTTTCCAATTTCAACAAAGGAACCTTAAAAGCCCAAAGGTTTCGGGGATAAAAGGTTTCAGTTGAAATGATAATAGTTGCCTGTGGCTGCCTGCCTCCTCTGTGGCAGGAACTTTCCATATGTTATCTCATTTAAGCTTCTCAGCAACTCTGTTGAGACGGGCATTGTTATCTCATTTTGCAGATCCAGAAACAATTTCAGGAAGGTTAAGTTATGTAAGGTCATACAAGTGGTTAATGGAGGTACTGGGAATCCAGCCCAGGGCTACCAAACTCCAAAAGCCATGAACAAGTATTTGCTGCTGTCTTCCAAACAGATAATTAAAAATGGACCTCTGAAGATGACGCAGTGCATTAGACTGATTTCAGTCTTTAGAACAATGTAGTTGTAATGTAGTTTATTCCTGGGATCTCATTTTTTTAAGTGAAACTACTAATATAATTTATAGAGCAATTTCAATACTAGGTACCATGCTAAGCATTTTATATACTTCATCTCATGTATCCTTCATGACAGTCATTTTACAGATAAGGGTACTAAGGCACAGAGAGGTGAAGAGACTTGGCCAAGGTCATAAAGCTAGGAAGTGGCACTGCAAAATTCAAACCCAGAGCTACCGGAATCCAGAGCCTGTGTCTGTAGGCCACAATGCACTGCAGCGGGAAAAACAAATATTGGTCCTCACTGTAAATTGGCTCCTCTCTGTCTGCCATAGCTCTATTTCCTTCCCACAGCCTGCATCCAGTGCTATGTACCACTTGTGCTTTTAGGCCATTGTTCCTTAGGCCTCTTCCTCAGTCTAGAATGCCTGTTTTCAACCCTCCACTTAATGAGAGTCTGCTCCCTGGTTAAATATCAAGTCAGAGATGCCCCTGCTCAGAGAAAAATTTTGGCTACTCGGTGTCC